TTTTTTTTGTTGATTTGTTTTAAATTTTTGCATCTTCATTTTTTTTAAACACCTAGTTTCCGAACAAAAAAACGAAAATCATTTCAAAAAAAAATACATCACAACTCAGGGACCATATCGCTCACTATAAAAAATGCAAAAAAAAAAATGCTGCTTTTCTTTTTATTTATTTTTAAATATTTTGTTTAAATCGAATTTCGTTTTTCATTTTTTAAAAATCTTAAACGAAGTCGGATTTGGAAATAAAAAACATAGGATTGTAGGGTTTTTCAAGCTGTACACCCCTATATTTTTTGTTTTTTTGTTTACGTATTTTTAGGGGTAAAAAAAAAAAATTTAAAAGCCAGGCCGCGGAGTGGGCCTCATCGGCCGCGGCCGCGGCCGAGATTCTCGGCCGCAGCGACCGAAATGACTGCGACCTAGGCCGCGGGTGTCACATAGCCCGTCGTCCACCTCCATCCCATCCATCTGTCGTCTGAAAGGCCGGGACGTAATCCGAGTCACTCGCATCATCGGGTCATGTAGTCTCACCGGCCTGGACGCTAGAGCTGTCATCAGGGATGATCAGCATACTACCTCGTCTCTTCCCTCCGAGGTCTGCCCCCTGCCCGTTCATGCCTCTGTCACCCGATGCAGCTGCACTAGCCCGATGCACCTGATGCACATGATCCGATCGCCACGACATATCGCCCGAGGCTCCTGTACGCATAACACCTCTATCCTCTACGGCACTGCCATTTGTCGTAATCTCTCCGTCCTCTCGACCTTCACGTGTGGAAGGCCATGAATGATGAGGCATGTGTGGTGACGATGTACCTGCACCCGACCTTCTTCCTCGCCAGGGACATACTGCCCTTCACCACCCTCGTGAAGGCAACATCCGATGTCTTAGACCACAACGGTCTCCCGTGCCGATCCCTGTATGCTCTGAAGGTGTCATGAGGAGCACCGTCAACGGTCCCTATAGATCGCGTCCCCATAGGCACGCCTGCTGGTCCGCATCTGCCCGTAACTCCCTACTCACGCATAGGGTTGGTGCTCCTACGGTCGTAGAATGATACTGTAGGCAGTCCAGCAGTCACAACACACCCACGACTGGAGCGGGGGTCGTCGACATGAGGTGCTACTGCCGAATCAGTGCTGATGACTTTGCAGTGATGCCCATGGCCAATGGTGCCCTTTCGAGGGGCCCGTCTGCACGAGGTTCCATAACGCCTGATAACTCAGAGGGCTCCTCGTGAGGACGAGCCTATGTCGTCGAAGACTCCGACAAACACTGTTGCGTCGGGTCACCTCCGTCCACACCGTCGAGTCCGGCCTGAGACTGCAGCTCCCTGTGTGGTACCGGGCTCGGTGGGCCTCCCGATCCGTCGCCAAGGACAGACTGCACATAACAACTCTGCGACCCGCCGCAGTCCGGAGACACTAAGCTGTCCAATGAATCCGCTAGATTGCGTTGCCCGGAGATACGTGCATCGTCACATCAGTGGTGTGTGCCCGTCCCGACCTTGCCTTAATCCCGCCCAAGGCATACCCACACGAAAAACACTAGGAGTGGCGGAGACCATGGGATGCAGGATATGTCACCGCCGAAATCGTCAAAACATGTGATGCTTTCATTGCCTTGGTCCATGTCATCAGGCTGATGTAGCTCAGGTGGTGGCACAATGGGTAGATTTAGACATATCAAAGTGGAAAGGTCTATGAGCTCCGCGAGGGCCGAATCCATGGTCAATAACTCATCTGTGGGCGGAATACTACTCGTTGGCCATGCGAGGCCGGCATCGTCGTCTGCACTATGCACACCTGCTGGGGTGTGCGAAACCTCTCTATCCTCCATGTCGTCCGCACAGGAGGGGACAACAGTGTCAGCTGTCAATACAGGCGCTGCGGTGTGAACCGCATTTGTCCCATCGACCTCTGAAAGGACTCTATCGGTTGTCCCGTCAACCTCCCTGCGAACGACACCAACTGGGAGGGGGCATAGACCCTCAATCGTCCAGAACAGCGGGTGGTGGTGCAAACCGCATCCCAACAGTGTCGGTTGTCAATGCAGGCGGTGCGGTGCGAACCGCATCTTTCCCATCGACCTCTGAAAGGACTCTATCGATTGTCCCATTTAAACCTCCTTGCGAACAACACCACTGGGAGGGGGCATAGACCCTCGATCGTCCAGTACAACGGGGTCCCGAATTGCCTCATCCCCAAGAATAGTCTCCGGCCTCCCGTTTCCCACTTCCTCAAATGCATCTGTTGATGTCAAAGTGCACACCCGCGGACCGGTGCCCTGCAGCACCTGCGCTCCCTCAATCGTGAACGAGACTGTCTCCTGGAGAATTGTGGGCTCACCCTGTGAGCGAGCAACGACAGCGGCAATATCGATAAGCTCCTCATTCGCGTCGTCGATCATGGAGTCCTCAGACACAATGACTTGCTTGTTGTCGAGGACGCAAGGGCGTGTGATGGCGGAACCCCAACCATGACGTCTACGCACACGAGAGGCGATGGTGTCCCTCTCCTTCTGTCAATGTCTCAAGCGCTTCAAGACAACACCATGACCCGTTCGTGGAGCACCGTCCACGAGCGGTTAATGGAAGGCCAAAAATTCGGGGTTTTTCGCCGCGTCGCTACAAGCAATGTTATCGAAACTTTTGCGAAACTTTTGCGAACAAACTATGCAGGGTCATAATACAAACATCAAAAAAACAATCAGGCAAAAGAAAAACGAAAAAAACAAAATCAAGAGCACTATAAATCCCTATTCGGAGTAGCTTTCGGAGTTCACCAAAGCTTTTTTCGAGTCTGGTGTTTTTGCTAAGTTTTTTGTTACTGCTTCAAATACGGCGAAACTGAATACAGATATACCCTACAGCACTTATATAACAGGCAAAAAGAAAAACTGAGAAAAAAGTAAAAATTCAGGGAAATATGACAGTTTCGGTGAAAAATTTGCTGAATTTTGGGCCTTCCATTGACCGCCTCTCATCACCATCATCGCGACTAAGGGCGAACGGTGTGCTCCCTCCACGTCGTCGTCCCTCACAATCGGCGTATGTAACGTGAAAAATCATCGTCATCACTGGAAGAGCTCGCGTACTCATCCCAACGCTGACGGGTTTTGCAGACGACCCCGTCCGCATGTGGTGGACGAGTGGTGGACCCTGTATGCACAACAACTCCGCGTCTACCACCTCGTCCACGCCCTCCACCTTCACGGTCACCACCCCTGCGTCTCCTCTTGTCCAACTCCTCCAACCGTCGCATGGCTCCCTAGCGAGAAATAATGTGCATCCTATCCCTCGCATGCAACATCTCCTCGTGCGTGAACCTGGTCAGCGCCCCGCTGCCTGTGACGAGCTGCCGGTCAACAGGCAACTCCTCCACATGTTGTCAATAGTGCACCCACTTCTCGTATACATCGGGCCTCTCAGCTAGGGTGTCGTCGGACAATGGTCTGTCCAGGAGTCGGATTTTCACCTCACGAGCTTCTCAACTCGTGCAACCTCCAAACTGTTGCATGGCTTGAAGTGAATGAAACTCCAACGAGACCACGCTCTCTCACACGGTGATGCGGTCGACCAATTGTGATGGATTCTGCTCGCAAAGTAAGCAACATGTGGAAACCTGGCTTGTTTGGTTGACCAAAAACTGGTTGCGTGAGTGAAGCTCACACGGGCTCGTTGTGTGTTGACCTCGTCGAAAGGAGGTTCCCTCGTGTGGAACTTTTCGATCGCAGCGAGGACCTCTCTGTGCTGTGGTGATCCCTCTGGGTAGCCAAACTGAAGCAAAGCGGCGATCAGTCTCTGTTGCACCTCTGCGTCGTCGACCAACGTGGGGTTTCTGAACTCAGGATCCAACATCATGACAGATGTGTGAGCGGTCCTGAACATGGTCCGCCGCCTATCGAACACCTCCTGCACAACGTCCTACTGCTCCCGATTAATGTCAGCGCAGACCAAACAAGTTGCGATCATAGAGTTGTAATAACGCAAAATCTTGCTAATCTGCCTCGTGTCGCTGTCTACCATCTGCAACATGTTCATGATGGGATCCAACAACTTGCACAAGGCTCGCAAATCCTCCCACCACGGAGATGACCCAACACATGCAGTAACCTCTGCCGCGTCCTTCCAAATCTTCGTGGTCGACCAAACTGTGTCGTGCCAATGACCGTCCACCGTTACCTTCATGAACTCAGACTCCAAGTGAAAAAGCCTCTTGATCATGATCACATTCGTTCAGAAGTGGGTTTCTGCTGACAACAACAAAGTCTTCTCCGTGAAAAACTCCAAAACCTATCGTGCATGTCTATGGCGCTTGAAGAACCTTGTCACCATTCTCGCTTGTGTGATGCAGATGGCCACCCAATCATTCCCTCCAATGTCCTCAAGGATGGCGCCCATCACATGTACAACGCAAGGAATCCAAAAGATGTGTTTGGCGCTCTGATCCTCCTGGAAGAAATCCATTGCCGCAACGTTGACCCCAACAGAGTCCGTGACGAAGGCAGTGATATCGCTCAATTTAATGTTCATGGACTTCACCCTCTTCAACCACGCCTTCGCCAAGGCAGTGGTGTCCTTCTTCTCGTGCATGACATCTGTAGCGACGTACGGTACCCCATTGTCTGTCCCGACAAGATAATTGCACAACATCTGACCACAGACGTTGGTCCATCCGTCTGTCATGATCGTGCATATTTCTCGATGAATCGAGGACGGGCTTGACATACTTTTGGACCTCAACATCAAGCTTATCCAAAAGGGTCATGAGAAACGTATGATCTAAGGGAACTTTTGGTGTGGGTGCCCCCGTAACGACATGTGGAATGATGAGCGTGAACATGTGTTTGAAGCTTTTCAGCTGCACGCAGTTAAACGTCATCTCGCACTCGACAATGAACCACATGATCTGCAGGTGCCATGCATGCTCCATTGGGTCTGAGCAGTAAGACGTAACGGCTTGCTGCCTATAGGTGCCTCTGCCTTGTCCTAGTGTGGCTCGGCCACCAAGGATCCCGACATCCAACAATCCACCTGAAGTCTTGGGTGCCGCACTCTGGGCGACTAGAAGATCGCACAATCGGTATAAAGGATCTAATGATCCGGAGACAACCCTCAGGGGTCGGAGGAGCGATAGTCGCGGGAGCCAGAGTGGCGAGGAATCGAACACAGTAATGGGGACCTCGACACCGGCACGCGCAGGAAGTGCCTCGTCACCATCTCCGGGAGCGGAAGTCGGTTGACGGATATCATGCACTCCGCATAAAGACTCGGGCCGCTGAGCAGGTTGGCGAAAGGCATTGGTTGCGTCAACTTGAACCCTCGACGGCGGCGATGGCAACCAAGTGTAATCGGATGACGTGTGATGACATGTGGGAGGCGCCACTGCTTAAGCACCACGTGTTGCACGTGAAGTCATGCAAGCCAACAGATATGCCCTCATTCTTCCCCCACTGGCCACCCTCAACGAAAGCACGTTATCGGGACCTTTGGATCCCGAATATCGTCCCGACACTTGAGAACCGGTATATAGCCAAGTTATGCATGACCAGAGAAAGGAGACAAGAGGGAGAGAAAAGTCTAAAAACTGGGACGGGACCGGCGGAGGAATGTTGTCCTGGGCTGAGTGCCACACGATAGAGGGACCCGACGATGTCAAGAAAGTAAGTGACAGGACGTGGGCGCATGGCGGCATAGCATGGGGTGAGGAGGGTCATTCGAATTCGGCGTGGCAAGGACCCGAGGGACCATGAACTGAGCAAGCGAGGCGCGGCAGATGACAAGAGAATAGTGAAGTCGAGAGGTGGACAGTCCTGGTGGCCGCGGGACACTAGAAAATAATGGCCCGACGTGGGGGCCACCTACGACAATTAATGGAAACCATGGATTGGAGATCCGTGGCCGAAGAGACCGGCACGTGCGGGGCTCGAGAGAAGACAAGGAAAGGGGGTCACCATAGGGCAGTAGACGCCAAAAGAAATCGGGACACCTTGAGGAAAGGTACTAGGGACCACATGGGGCTAAGTAAAAATAATGGTATCCGGGACAAAATATCAACGGGACCACCGGCGGGACAAGTGTCGGCGGGGCTGACGGCGGGACAAATGCCGGCAGGGCCAACGACGGAACAAGTACCGACGGGACCACCAGGCGGAACAAGTGCCGAGGAGTAGTGCGGGACAAGAGGCGGGGACATGAGAAGGTCTCAAGAAGGGTTGTGGAGAGACATGAGGGAAAAATAATTAAAGCAAGGTGTACCGTCAAGATCAAGATCTTGACGGCCAAGAATATTAGCCCCACTAGTACAAGCACTAGTGGGAGCAAACGGAAAGACAAAAAGGAAAGAAAAAGTAACGAAACGTGAAGGGAGAGGCATGAGAGCAATCCGGAAAATCTCGGATTGACCCCCCTTAAGAAAATGGGGTCGAAAGGGACTCCGTGTGGAAAATAGGCTTTCGAGGGAAAATTGTAGTAGGAGGGGCCACTGTGTGAGAGAAATAGAGGTAAAAGGAGACTCCTATGGGCATAAGGGAGCCACAGTTGCAGTCCGAGATATAACGGACTGCACCATGGGCATAGGGAGGGTCAAAGCTAAGAGGAAGGGCCTAGAAAATGCCTTAACGGCTACTTGACACTTAGCATGCTAGAAAAAGAAAAAAAAAGAAAAAAAAAAAGCGAGAGAATAAGACAAAAAGAGTGAGTGAGTTGGCCGTCAGTAGGGACTGCCACAAGTAGGGACTGTCCCTACTGTCCAAAAAGGGAGGGAAAAGAAAAGAAAATAAAAGAGAAAAGAGCCTTAACGGTAAAAAACGGTCACTTGGGGAGATATATCTGTGACCAGATACATTATGAAATATGGCGGTTGTAAAGGACCTTGATTTTCTCTTGATTTTGCAGACAAAAAAAAAAAATCAAAGCCCCATGCAACCGAGATACAACGGATTGCATAGGGAAGGAAAAACACATGGTTTAGGTGCATCCGGAGCCAATATTGAGCCCGGATGCACTTGAAAGTTTGTCGTTGCCTTTTCCTTCAGTTTCGGGATAGTTGTGGGGCAATGGGACTAGGAAATTGACCCCTAATGCATTCCGAGTTACAACGGACTGCATGGGGAAGGGAAAACACATGTTTTAGGTGCATCCGGAGTCAATATTGAGCCCAAATGCACTTGAAAATTAAGCGCTTCATTTTCTTTCAGTTTGGCGCAAGTTGTGGGGTTGTGGGACTAGGGAAATGACCACAGTTATAGTCCGAGAAATAACGGACTGCATAAGGATGACTAGGCCAAGAGAAAATGAGCCATGGCAGACCCAAAAGAGTAGAAAAGAGTGACTTCGGCATGAGGCAAATGGAGACGGTAAACGACAACCGTGAGATGAGGATCACATGGCCGAGAATAATCGACACACATGAGGTACTAGAGGAGGGGATATTGGGACTGACAAGGACAAGGAAGTCCCAAAATAAAAATGGGACGTCGTCCGAAACGATGTCGGGAACTAAATAGGCCCAAATAAAAATAGCCAAAAAACGGGGCGTGCGCCGACGGAACTACCGGCGGGACAACAAAATGAAACTAGTACGGGGAGAGTGGCGCGAACTTAAGATGTCTCAAGGAAACCATGAGCCAACGTGAGGAATGGTCACGCAAAGCAAACGGCACCGTCAAGATCGAGATTTTGGCGTGGAAAATATTAGCATCACTAGTACAAGCACTAGTGGTATCAAGCGGGAGAGTCATGAGAGAAAAGAAAGCAAAGTAATAGTGATGGAAGGGCTTCCCAGCAGTCCGAGATATCTCGGACTAGCTAGGCCTGAAAAAATAGAGCCCCAAGGGGCTGAACACAAAAAAAAGGTTGTCAAAAGAAAGTTGGAGCAAGAGGGGCTCAAAATTGGGACTAACGAAGGCAAAAGGGAGTCCCCCATGAGCATGGGGGCTTCATCATTGTAGTCTGAGATATAACGGCCAACTACTGAGTCTGAATTTGGCCATAGATGAAGATCCATGGTCTAGAAAAAGACTCAACAGCCACTTGACACTTGTCACATCAGAAATAAAATAAAATAAAAGAAAAATGAGAGAAAATGGAGGGAGAATGAGACAAAAGGGGAAACAATGGTGGAGGAAAATATGCCGGCCAGTTGGGACTGGCAGGTCCGTACTATGACCTCATCCCTCCAGATTTGGTGGAGGGCAATCCGGATTGCAGAGATATGGCCCTTGGGGCATTATCTCTGCAAAATCTGAATTAAAAGGGAAAAATTGGGAGAAAATGCAGAAGGAAAATGGTCGGTTTTTCCTTGGGCCATGAATCTGAGATTAAGATCCATGGAGGAGGTAATATGGCCATTTTTAATGAGGCCAACTCAAACGGCCAACTCCGGAATGAGTTGGCAACCCAAAATGGAAAGAAACAAAAGAAGGAAAATATTGAAACTGTGCATTTGGCCCAAAAAGAGGAACAGATGCACAAAAAACTGAAAAAGTGAGCTTAGGGGCTCAAATTTGAAGCAAGGATCACAAAGGGGTAACTCAAATTATTGTTGGTCTTGGATCTCAGCCAGATCCATGGCTGAAAAAACACCGAGGCATGAGAAAATACCTCGGCCTCCCAAAAATGAGATAGAAATTGAAAAAAATCGAAAAAAAGGTCCACTAGGCATTTTTCACTCATGTGGGGCTGCCCCTTGGGCATTTGGACTCAAGAGGGTAGCATTTCAAAAAGAAAAGGAGGCTGGAGGAGACCAAGAGGCAATCCGAGTTGGTACCAACCACTCAGACTTCATGTACTTGGCCAACATGAGGCTCGTATACCCCCGAAGGGGCCTACGGGTGGGTTTTTCCCTTGGGGGTACCTCGGTTCACTTGGAGGCACATGGGGAGGCTCATGAGCTGGTCAGTGCTCCGGTTTCAACCTACATAAGCTGAGGGAGCAGCCCGCCACACTCACATTTGCATGAGATGTGCCCATGCTGCCCAAGTAAGCTCATAGGAGCACTTCCCTCATTTTGAGTGAGGAGAGAGGAACCCCTGCCAGTTTGGGAGCTTAGAGGAGACTGTGGACTAGTGTGAGAAGCTCTAGAGGCTGGTGGTAGTGAGGCTGGTCTAGGAAGGTGATCCGCCATAGCCCCCAGGCTGTGAGGAAGAAAGAAAGGCTAGAGAAAGTCTCATTAACCCTCTTAGAGGGAAGGACTCCATAGCCATAATGATAGGAGTTTGCCATAGCTAGGAGAGGACTGAGGAAGATGAATGGTGAAGGCTTGAGGAAGGAGGGAGTCATAGCCAAGTAAGGGAAAGCTTCATCAAGACTGATACTTCAACTCCAAGGCACTGGAGGAGACGAGTGGAAAAGGAGGAAAAAAAAAAATAAATTCTTCTTCTTCTTCTTCTTCTTCTTCTTTTCCTTCCTCTTTTCCTACTCCTTCATGCTCCCTCATCTTCATCTCTTCCTAAGTTTCTCTCCTCTCAAAACTTTCATCACTCCTCCATTCTTTCATTGTCTCTCTCGTTCCCTCTTTTTCATCTCCTTCCTCACCTTCTCTCTCCGTGGATACATTCCAAAGCATAGGGAAGATAGTAGAGAGTTTCTCCACTAATGATGACCCTCCCGTGATCTCTTTCTTCACTCTCGTGTAAATCGTCACTTTCCATTTTGTGATTTCATGCATGACCTTTCCCTTTCTCTTCATTTCTTCACTTAGTACCAAATCGCAACTTTGGTTTGTGCTTATTCTAGTGTTTTGGATGATCTTTCACTCATATTTTGTCCATTACTTCACTCTCATGTAAATCGTCACTTTCCATTTTGTGATTCCATGCATGAGAGTGAGTGCAACTCACTCTCCCTTCACTTTCTCTCCATTTCTTCACTTGGTAGCAAATCGCGAATTTGGTTTGTGCTCATTCTAGCGTTTTGGATGATCTTTCACTCACGTTTTGTCAATTCCTTCACTCTCATTTAAATCGTCACTTTCCATTTTGTGATTTCATGCATGAGAGTGAGTTTCACTTACTCCTCTTTCACTTTCTCTCCATTTCTTCACTTCGTAGTAAATCACAACTTTGGTTTGTGCTCATTCTAGTGTTTTGGATGATCTTTCACTCGTGTTTTTCCCATTCCTTCACTCCCATATAAATCGTCGCTTTCCATTTTGTAATTTCATGCATGAGAGTGAGTTTCACTCACTCCCCCTTCACTTTCTCTCCATTTTTTCACTTGGTGGTAAATCACAATTTTGGTTTGTGCTCATTCTAGTGTTTAGGATGATCTCTCACTCATGCTTTGTCAAATTTTTGCACTTGGTGATAGTCTGATTCATCCCTGACTGTTCAACTAGTTACATATTTGTGTCACACTTATGCTTTGTCAATCCTTACACTTGGTGATAGTCCAATTCTTCCCTAGTTGTTCAACTTGTGAAATGAGTGTGTTTTTCCTTCTCATGCTCATGCTTTGTCCATTTCTTGCATTTGGTGATAATCCGATTCTTCCCTAGCTGTTCAATTTGTGAAATGCATGTGTTTCCCCTTGTCATGCTCATGCTTTGTACATTCCTTGCACTTGGCGATAGTCTGATTCTCCCTTAGCTGTTCAACTTGTGAAATGCACGTATTTTTCATTGTCACACTCATGCTTTGTCAATTTCTTGCATTTGGTGATAGTCTGATTCTTCCCTAGTTGTTCAACTTGTGAAATGCATGTGTTTTCCCTTGTCATGCTCATGCCTTGTCTATTCCTTGCACTTGGTGATAGTCTGATTCTTCCCTAGCTATTCAACTTGTGAAATGCATGTGTTTTCCCTTGTCACACTCATGCTTTGTCCATTCTTTGCACTTGGCGATATAGTCCGATTCTTCCCTAGCTCCTCAGCTAGTGAAATGCATGTGTTTTCCTTTGTCATGCTCACGCTTTGACCATTTCTTGCATTTGGTGATAGTCCGATTCTTCCTTAGCTGTTTAACTTGTGATATGCATATGTTTTCCCTTGTCATGCTTATGCTTTGTCCATTTGTGGCATTTAGGGATAGTCTGATTCTTCCCTTGCTGTTCAACTTATGAAATGCATGTGTTTTCCCTTGTCATGCTCACGCTTTGTCCATTTCTTGCATTTGGTGATAGTCCGATTCTTCCTTAGCTCTTCAACTTGTGGGATGCTTGTGTTTTCCCTTGTCATGCTTATGCTTTGTTTATTCCTTGCACTTGGCGATAGTCCGATTCTTCCCTAGTTGTTGAAATAGTGAAATGCATGTGTTTTCCCTTGTCATGCTCATGCTTTGGTTATTTTTTGCATTTGGTGATAGTCCGATTCTTCGCTAGTTGTTCAACTTGTGAAATGCATGTGTTTTCCCTTGCCATGCTCATGCTTTGTCCATTTCTTGCATTTGGTGATAGTCTGATTTCTTCCTTAGCTGTTCAACTAGCGAAATGCATGTGTTTCCCTTGTCACACTCATGCTTTGTCCATTTGATGATAGTCTGATTCTTCACTAGCTATTCAACTTATGATATGTTGTGTTTTCGCTTGTCACACTCATGCTTTGTTCATTTCTTGCACTTGGCGATAACCCGATTCCTTCCTAGCGTTTCAGCTGTGAGATGCATATGTTTTCCCTTGTCCTTCCCATGCTTTATCCATTCCTTGCACCTGGTGATAGTCCGATGCTTTCCTAGTTAATCAACTTGACACATACGTGGCCTATGAGAACCCCGTGTTCTAATCGAACGCAGTGAATAAGAGGTAGGAAAAAATGACTGTCTTTTTTACTAGAACAGTTGTTGTTGCTGTTGTTGTTTATAATAATGTTGTTGTTGTTGCTGATGCCTGACCAAGCCCCTTACTGCTGCTGCTGCTGCTGAAAACTCGATGGCCGACCTCCGGAGCACGGACCGGTCCGAAAAAGGGACTAAGGGGCCAACGTGACCGTGGG